AAAGGTGACTGAAAATAGGAACATAGGTATGAGTCTACACAGAAGTTCTATGGTTTAGGGACAGTGTCAGTGTTTTTAATATTTGATTCTAAATCTGTTAAAAGCAATTCAAAATCTTTTACATATTAATTTGCATTATTAAATGAAACTCCTTTCTATCTTTGTAGTTAGATATGCTGCTAGGTATGGTGGGCACACACCTGTAGTCCCAGTTATTTGGGAGGCTGAGGCAGGAGAATTGCTGGAGCCCAGGACTTCAAGGCTGTAATGCACTGTAATTGCTTCTGTGAATAGTCATTGCACTCAAGCATGAGCAACATAGTGACATCCTGTGTCTTAAAAAAAAAAAAAAAGAAAGAAAAAGTTATTAAAAAAGAAATCTGACCAGGCGCAGTAGCTCACAACTGTAATCCAGCACTTTGGGAGGCCGAGATGGGTGGGTCACTTGAGGTCAGGAGTTCAAGGTCAGCCTGGCCAATATGGTGAAACCCCATCTCTACTAAAAATACAAAAATTAGCAAGGTGTGGTAGTGGGCACCTGTAATCCAGGCTATTCAGGAGGCTGAAGCAGGAGAATCACCTGAACCTGGGAGGCAGAGGTTTTGGTGAGCCGAGATTGCCCCACTGCACTGGACCAGAGGGAGACTCCACCTCAAAAAAAAAAAAAAGTTCTATAAAATATTGAGTAGAGGCTGGGTGTGTTGGCTCATGCGTGTAATCCCAGCACTTTGGGAGGCCGAGGTGAGTGGATCACTTGAGGCCAGGGGTTCAAGACCAGCCTGGCCAACATGGCAAAACCCCGTCTCTACTAAAAATATAAAAATTATCTGGGTGTAGTAATGCACACCTGTAATCTGAGCTACTCTGAGGCATGAGAATTGCTTGAACCCAGGAGGTGGAGGTTGCATTAAGCCAAGATTGTGCCACTGCCGCCCAGCTTGAGTGACAGAGACTCTATCTCAAAATATAGAGAGAAAGTAGAAAGAACATGCAGAGTGAGTTCATTTTAATTTATGTGTTTAACACCACAGAATAATTTTAACTATATTTTTTCATAATGTTTCCTGTATTACTGGACTTTTTACATAACTACTTGTGAAAACAATCCAGTGTGATTAAATACAAAAGCACTAACAATTTATATTTGGTATACTTAGTATACTGGGTTTAGTCAGGTGGGACATGAGAAAATTCTCTGTGTCTGGCAGTGTCACACATTACATAACAGTATTTCTGGCCCCTTCGAATTAAAATACCTAGTAGCACTACCAGTCATTGAGACGACCCATAAATGCTTCCTAGGGAGCAGTAATGATCTTTTTTTAAAAAAACAGTATTTTTATGATCACTATTCACAGCTATCTCCAGCAGCAGGTAAATGAGAGGCAAGAATTTTGTGTGTATACTTGTGTCTCTTTTTTTGTTTATACATTCATCTGTAAGTTTTAGTATTAATAATATTGAATTCACTAGGATGTTTACATTTCACAAAGTTTTACCAATTCTGTATTTAAATCAAGCTTTTTTGTTTTTTGGTTTTTTTTGAGACAGAGCTATTGCTCTTGTTGCCCAGGCTGGAATGCAATGGCGCAATCTCGGCTCACTGCAAACTCCGCCTCCTGGGTTCAAGTGATTCTCCTGCCTCAGCTTCCTGAGTAGCTAGGATTACAGGCATGCGCCACCATGCCCGGCTAATTTTGTATTTTTAGTAGAGATGGGGTTTCTCCATGTTGGTTAGGCTGGTCTCGAACTCCCAGCCTCAGGTGATCCACCCACCTTGGCCTCCCAAAGTGTTAGGATTACAGGCATGAGCCACTGCGCCCAGCCTTAAATCAAGTTTTATTGTAGTTTCCTTATTGTGTTTCATTAAGGAAGTTTTTTGTGTGTTCTTGTGTAAGCTTTTATTAATCATCATAATGTGTTATTCTGGCTAAAGGAATGCTAGATAAAACTGCCTTTTCTCCTCTGGGGCTTATATTAACAAACGAGTCATCAAACTTTTACACTTACCAGAATCACCTAGGAGCTTGTTAAAGCACATATTGCTGAGCCCCACCCGTATAATTTCTTTTTGTTGGTTGGTTGGTTTGGGGCTTTTGGGGGGTTTTTTTTGAGATAGGGTCTTGCTTTGTCACCCAGGCTGGAGTACAGTGGCATTATCTTGACTCACTGCAACCTTGCTGCCTGGATTCAAGCAGTTCTCCTGCCTCAGTCTCCCCAGTAACTGGGATTACAGGCATGCGCCCCCCACACCTGGCTAATTTTTGTATTTTTAGTAGAGATCAAGATTCACCATGTTGGCCTGGCTGATCTTAAACTCCTGACCTCAACTGATCTGCCCACCTTAGCCTCTCAAAGTGTTGGAATTATAGGTGTGAGCCACCACACCCGATCCAGAGTTTCTGAATTAGTAGGCTCATGTGTGGGGGCTGCAGATTTATGGTTCTAACAGATTTCCTCATGATGCTGATGCTGTTGGATTGGGGAACACAATTTGAGATCTACTATACTAACAAACTGTTTATGATTCCATTATGTTTTAGGGAGCAACGGACCACAGAAATTCTGCATTGAAAAAGTTGGGAAAGAAAACTGGCTACCCAGAAGTCATACCTGGTAAGTACAATCAGAAAGAATAGAGAAAATAGCCTTTGTGCAGTTATCTGTAGCTATTTAAAGCCAGCTAGAAATTAAAACTGATATTTAGTAGATTTAGAGAGCAGCACAGCCATCACTGCAATGCTGTTTTAAAGCGTTTTGTTTACCCCAAAATGATTTCTTACAACTATTTGCAAACAATTCCTTTTTTCACATCTGAATTTTTTTTTTTAATGTGGGATTTAGAATTCTTTTAACTTTTCCCTAAAGGCAGAAAAAGAAGTCAAAGTTAGGAGATCTACTTTATAACATCATGACCACAAATATTCTCATTTTAAATCTTATTTAATTACATTTCTAGAAATGTAGAAAACTAAATCTAATCCTTACCTTAGAGCAAATGTATTAATATTTTGGAATTCAACCTAATGTCAACAATATTTGAATCTTATTTTGTGGGATATATTTTAGTGATCATATATGGTCCTTGCTGGATATCTGACCTCTTTACTATTTTATTCTCTATTCCTTTTTGTTTTTGTACATATGTTTTATATATACATGTAATGTTTTAGTAATAATTTTATTGATATATAAAAACTCACCCTCAAATTATACAGTAGAGTTCAGTGGTTTTTAGTGTATTTACGAGGTTATGTGAGAATCACTACTATCTAATTCCAGAACATTTTTTTACGTTCCCCAAAATCCATGTACCCATTAGCAGTCACTCCCCATTTACCCCCTGTGCAGTCCTTGGTAACCACTAATCTACTTTCTGTCTCTATGAATTTTTCTTTTCTGTACATTTCATGTAAAATGAATCACACAATAAATATATGACCTTTATTTTGAGACAGTCTTGCTATGTTGCCCAGGCTGGGGTACGGTGGCACCATCTCAGCTCACTGCAACCTCTGCCTCCTGGGTTCAAGCGAGTCTCCTACCTCAGCTTCCTGAGTAGCTGGGACTCAGGCGTGCACCACCATCCATGGCTAATTTTTGTGTTTTTAGGAGAGACAGGGTTTCACCATGTTGACCAGGCTGGTCTTGAACTCCTGACCTGGTGATCAACCCACCCTGGCCTCCCAAAGTGCTGGGATTACAGGCATGAGCCACCATGCCCAGCCAAATTATAACCTTTTGTGTGTAGTTTCTTAGCATGTTTTCAATGTTCATCCGTAGTCTAGCATATATCAATATTTCATCCCTTTTTAAAAATTGTGTTTAACATACATAACATAGAATTTACCATTTGCGTTTATCGTTCAGTGGCATTAAGCACATTCACATCATTATGCAGCCATGACCACCATTCATGTCCAAAAATTGTTTTTTTTTTTTTTTTTTTTTTTTTTTTTTGGTTCTTTTTGAGACATACCTCACTCTGTCACCCAGGCTGGAGTACAGTAGCTTGGTCTTCACTCATGCAGCCTCTACTTCCCAGGCTCAAGTAATCCTTCCACCTTAGCCTCCCAAGTAGCTGGGACTACAGGTGTGTGCTACCACCTAATTTTTAACTTTTTGTAGAGACAGAGTCTCACTTTGTTGTTCAGGCTGGTCTCGGCCTCCTGAGCTCAAGCAGTACTCCTGCCTTGGTCTCCCAAAGTGCTGGGATTATAGGCCACTGTCCTGACCCAAAACTTTTTTCATCTTGCAAAACTGAAATAGTACCTACTAAAGCACCAAGTCCTGGTCCCCAGCCTGTTAGGAACTGGGCTGCACAGCAGGAGGTGAGCAGAGGGTGAGTGAGCATTACCTGCTGATCTCTACCACTTGCCAGTTCAGCAGAGGCATTAGATTCCCATAGGAGCAAGAACCCTGTTGTGAACTATACTTGTGAGGAATATAGATTGTGCATTCTTTATGAGAATCTAATGATCTTAGGTGGAATAGTTTCATTCCGAAACCACCCTCCTCCCCACTCCTATCCATGGAAAAATTATCTTCCACAAAACCATTCCCTGTTGCCAAAAAGGTTGGAGACTGCTGCTTTAAACAGTGATTCCCCATGACTCCCTCTCCCCAGGTCCTGGCAATCATCATTCTACTGTTTCTGATTTTTGACTATCTTTAGTACTTCTTAAGTGCAGAATTATACTTTATTTGTCCTTTTGTGACTGGCTTATTTCACTTAGAATAATATCTTTAATTTTCATCCATGTTGTAGCATGTGTCAGCATTTCCTCCTTTTTAATGGTGAATAATATTTGATAGTCTGGTATACTACATTTTGTTTGTACATTCATCTGTCCTTGGACACTTGGGTTATTTCCACCTTTTGGCTGTTTTGAATAATGCTGCTATAAACATAGGTATACTGTGGTAGAATATAGGCATATCTATGCATGTCCCTGCTTTCAGTTGTTTTGGGCATATACCCAGAGGTGGAATTGCTTGATTGTGTAGTAATTCTATTTTTAATTTTTTTGGGGGGGAGAATCTCACCATACTGCTTTTCATAGGGGCTACACTGCTTTATATTCCTACTAGTAGTGCAGAAGAGCTCCAATTTCTCCACATCCTCACATCCTTTTCAACTCCTTTTCTTCTTTTTGTTGTTGTTTTAAATAATAGCCATCCCAGTAGGTGTGAAGTTGTATCTTATTTGCATTTACCTAATGACTAAGCATGTTGAGCATTTTTTCATGTGCTTATTGGTCATTTGTATATCTTCTTTGGAAAAATGTATCCTTTGCCCATTTTTAAATATTGTTGAATTGTAAGTTTTTTTATATATTTTAGATAGCAGTTCTTTATCAGATATATGATTTATAAATATTTTTTTCCATTTTTGAGTTATTTTACTTTACTGATGGTATCCTTTGAAGCACAGTAGTTTATTTTTGTGCTTCTATAGGAGTGGTGTTATACTACACTACTCATTTGATTCTTTGCATATTTCCTTTTCTCAAACTAACAATTCTTGCTTTTAGTTTTAATCGCCTGGACCTGCCACCATACAAGAGCTATGAGCAACTGAAAGAAAAGCTGTTGTTTGCCATAGAAGAAACAGAAGGATTTGGACAAGAGTGACTTCTGAGAACTTGCACCGTGAATGGGCAAGAACTTGTTATGTTTGTCCTTCTCAGCCTGTTGCACATCTTGTAAAATTGGACTATGGCTCTTTAGAGAGTTATCTGAGTGTAAGTAACTATTAATGTTATCATTAAAATTTATCTCCCAGTGATTTCTACTCACCATTTCCAGAAATCAGGTCTGCAAATGACTAGTCAAAACCTTGCTTAACATGAAATCTGCCTTGTCTTATTCCACTAGTTTGTTCCCTTAACAATTTTGTATATATGTCAAAAGTCTCACTTGGGAGTAGGTTTTTTTCTTTTAGAAATTCTGTAGATAAGCAGGGAAGTCCTTTGGTAACTGCAATATACAAGATCTTCCTATTAAGCCTCTTGGTAAGAGGCATTTGTTAAAAGTGCAAACTTACCCCAGCTTCTGGGGATGCGAGCAAAATTCTGGCTTGTGTTCTTCTCATTTTAGTCTGACTTGACTATTGTCTTTCCTTTCTGGAGCATGAATCCATACATCATTCCTGGAAGTGATGCAAAACTACTGCATCCCTCTACAAAGTAGTTTTGTCAATTTGAATTCAGGGAAAAGTTGGTCACAGCCTGCAAATAACTTCATTTGGAAGTTTGATTGTTTTAGTTGCCTGGCAAATACTACACTTCACAAACAATATTAACACTGTGATTCCTTCATTGTTGTTTTAAGAAGTTAACCTAGGGCCAGGCGTGAAATCCTAGCACCTTGGGAGGCTGAGGCAGAAGGATCCCTTGAGGACAGGAGTTCAGGACCAGCCTGGGCAACATAGGGAGACCCTGTCTCTTTTGGGGGGAAAAATAAATAAATGGGAAAAAAGTTAACCTAGAATTAGAATTAACTTAATTGAATTCATCTAAGGACATCAGTGGTGATTTTTATATGTTCCTCTACATAATTGATGCTTTATAATTTTAACATAATCCAACAACTTCAGTTTACATTTAATTATTGTTAAGGAGTTTAAGACTAGAAAGACAAGAGTGCTTTCTAGTCCAAATAGAGGTCAATGAAATAGCTTCTGACATCAAATTTTCATTTGAGGAGGGAGAGCTGTGGTATGGGCTAAAAAGAAAGGAAGATAATATCCAGTAACTACAGGAATATATTCTCTGTGAATTAAAAGTCTTCAAAGTTATCATTTCTCTGACATACGTTGGAGTAGTCATTTCCATTGTTTACATTGTCCTGAACTGGTTTGATATCCCTCATCTGCAATATTCTTTTTACCCTTAAAATTTTTAGCAGGGTTTTCTTTTTTTCTCATGACTATTTTAAGTTTAGATTGCCCATTATTAACTGTTTAATGCACTTTGAAGTTCTCTGGAGTTAATTCTTTTAAATTGGCCTAGCTTAGACTGTCAAGGTGGCTGTCATAAATTGGACTTTATGAGCAGTGGAATGAAGCCTAAGCCAGCTGAGTCCCTATCATAGCTGTACCATGAGGACAGCCTCATAGCTCATGTATCAGGGACTTTGCCACATTTCAGAGGCATAGCATGAACAAGTAATATTAAGCCAAGAACAAGCAGCAGAACCCTGTTCCATATGGCCCTAATGCTCTTCCTTTTTACATCCTGGAACAACAATAAAAACATTTTTTTTTAACTTGTCTATCTGTACTCGAAGACACTGCCATCATAAAGCAGAGACTGACATGAGTGAAAAGGTTGCCTCATCAAAGAAACTCAGTGTAAATTGGGAGACTAGGCTCTCCCCAGCCCTGTGGTTTTTTTTATTTCATGTATCCCAGGAAATACTGTCTGGTTTCCAGTAGCCCTAGCTGTTAAAAGTAGGGACTCTGCCTTTTTGTTGGTAGGGGAGGAAAAACGCTATTGCTTTGTCTTACAGAGCGAATGTCTGCCAACTACCCATTCATTATATAAGTCTGAACTTGGTAATATATGACTAATGAAGATTAAGCCCTCTATAAAGACTTCCTGTTGAGGTGAATTCTCATACTGAAATGTAGTTATCTACAATATTTACTAGAGATTTATGAGATTAAATTAAGAGATAATGTAAGAAAATAGATTTTTTTTTGTTCTATATAATGCTTCATGATTCATTTAGGGACCTAGAAATATTGTGTGAAAATATATAAATATCACCCAAAAGGCTTTCTGCCCTATATTTTTAAAATACAGAATAGTTATCTTTGAAGTAGCCCTCGCCCTAGTTCTATAGGGCTTGGCTATTTAATATTTTTATGGAAGAAGTGTTTAGTTCTGGAAAAGGTAAATGCTTGTATATATTTTTGCAGCCTGGGATCTCCCTACTCCATTTTTCCCTTTAATTTAAGTGGCCACATGTATATGTCTTCCCTGCTGTGTTAGGAAAATGGGGGCTGGATATCCCAAGAATCAGAGGTTATATAAAAATACTGCAAATAGACAGCAGACATAAATATCTACCAAATGCTATCTTAAATTTTGGTCCAAACTGAACATATGGAAATAGATTTATTGTAAGTATTTACGTAGACCTTTTTCTTAAATCTTAACTAAATTGCTTTTAGAATTCTTTTTCTTTGTAAGCATTGTAAATGCTAATAAATCCTGTTAATTATTATTATTTTTTTTTTTTACTGCATGTTACATTGAAATAAAAACAAAGTAAAATGAGCAATTGCCTTATTCTTCTGCACTTTTGCGGGGGTGGGGGTTGGGGAAGACAGCATTCCACAGCCTGGTCAGGAGGGAAGGACCTCACTTGTTTGGTCAAATGGAGTGGTTTAAAACTGATCAAGCAGCTCATAATAATGAATTCCTGCTCTGTCTTTTATTATGTCAGAGTACAGAAGAACCTCATTTCATAAAACTTACAATAACTCTATTTAAAATTCAGGTATTGTCCTTGGGAGGCTGAGGTGGGAGGATCGCTTGAGTCCAGAAGTTCAAATCCAACCTGGGCAACATAGCTAGACCCTGTCTCTTAAAGAAACAAAAAGACATATTCAGGTACTGATTTTTCATCAAGAGATTGACATACCAATGATTAGAAATTTTAGTGAAACATGTTCAACTATACACAAAGTTCTCATCCTAAATGAACTATTTCAATCAAGCCCGCTCTACCACTTTTTACTTATCTGATTAATAATCTGAAATGTTATCAGGGTTGACTCATGGAATTAAACTTTTCCTCTTGTTTTGGATGTTACTTCATCTTTCTAAAGTCCTTTAGAGTTAACTACTTCTATTTAGTATTGTTGGCATCTCCAGCCCCCCCTCCATTTGTTTTTCTTTTAATTATTTACAAAATTGTTTGTATATTTGTATATTACTGTATTAAGAGTACCTTTGTTTTCTCGATCTGTTACTTCTAATACTCAGGTAATGCTACCAATATTACAGGAAGTCAAATGCTTTCATAAAGTTCCTTCAGTGGTTGCCTCACTTACGTTTTCCTAAAAGATGTAAGACTGTTTATAATTAAACTTTTTTGATCCTTGATTTGCATGCTTTTCTGTTAGTCTTGGGTAAGATGGGGTCTCTTTCCTCTTTCCCCAGCCCCCCCTTCAGAGAAGACTAGGTCACATAGACTTCTGCCTCTCTGCTTTTTTAACGTGGCAAGTTACAGTCTGTATTGTGGTATTGTTCTCAGACCAAACCAAGAGTCAGGCTCCTTATTCTTGCAGCCCAATAATGAGGTGCAGATGAACTGGGAAAGGAGGGAGTTTATTTCTGTAACGGGTACAGGGAGAAGGCGTGGAAATTATCCCCAGACCAACTCAAAACTACAAAGTTTTCCAGAGCTTATTTACCTTCTAAGCTATATGTCTATGTGTAAGTGTGCATTCATCTAAAGACATAAGTGATTAGCTTTTTTAAATCTTTAAGATCTGAGTACCAAAGACCTTCTTCTGGAGCCTCAGTAAATTTACTTAATCTAAATGGATCCAGGTGCTGGGGTGAATGATTACCCTTCAGACCCCCCAGTAAACTTGTCTGTGGAGCCTTCAGACCCTCAATAAGTTCCTTCAGACCCCCAATAAAACTTGTTTAATCCTAAATGGATCCTGTTAAGAATTCCTTGGTTATTTTATCATGCTTCAAGGCCCAGGAAAGGCCTGGGCAAAACCCTTGGTGGGCTTTTGTTTAAGGGCCCTGACTTTTTTAGCTTTTAATATTTAACTTAACCATTCAGTCAGTGCTGAAACAGTTGTTATGGAGGCCTGTGTTATTAAGACCTGGCCTACCACAATATGAGTAAAAATACTAGAAATTGCTGCGCAGATGAGACTGGATTTGGTGCCCATGTTGAAGATGAAGATACCTCCAGAGGCCATCGGCCAACATGATGGCCTCCATGTAAACTGCTTTTCTGAGACAACTAAAAGATGGGACCACAGGCAGCAGTGCTAAGTAGAGAACCACCAACTAGCTAGCTTTCAAGACTGTTACGAAGACTGTTATCAACCAGCTGGCCCGCTTACCATCTTCAGTAGACCTTTTTCTTATTAGGAAACTCAGGTGATTATGCTCTCATTTAAAACAAAACCAGTGGAGAAAGACTAAGGCAAGAGGAATTTAATACAGCTGATCTAACATGGGATTGGGGAAAGAAACTGCAGGCCTCTCCCAGGTCCTGAGTAGCTGTTTAGTCTGTCCAATGGAAGCTGCTAGAATGCTAGAATGCTGTAGTTTCAATGTGCTTAGAATAAGGGAAAAGGTATGTCCCCCTCAGCATGTGGAAACCTATGGGGAATAAGTAATTGTTATTAACCATTGGCTCTCATCCAAAACCCTACAAAGCATCAAACTGGGACTCCGCCGTGGCTGACTGGCTGTTCTCTGGACTTTTCAAGTGTCTCACATTGTATAACTCTAGGAGTTGCTGTCTCTCCCAGCCTATTTCAGTTGTCGAATCTTCGATGTTTGTAGGACTCCTTCGTGATCAGGATACCTGGAATGAGGAGCCGGGAGAACCTTTCTGGTTGGCAAGGAAAAGAGGGCCTTAAACATAAACCCCAGAAGGACACTGTTGATCCCTTATAAACAAGGCCCTGTTGTTAATAAGTGAAGAGTGGCTATGGACAAAAGGATTTCCTCAAAGCACCCCACGGAAGAACCTTGAGAATTTGTAGTCATACTTGCAAGATCACTAAAAACAGCCCTCCTGTTATTTTTCTTCTAATTCAGACCTGTTCTATTTGTCTTCCATATCATAGCAACCAATACCACACCAACATTCACTTAATACCAAAACAGCTGTCAACATTTATCACTATGTGCAGGACACTGGTAGATATGCTATGTGCAGTGTCACTTAGTCTTCCTGTTACTGGGAACGATTTCTGTTTTACAAGACAATAGAGGCTCCAAATGATTGAATCATGTTCACAACTATTGAAAGAGTAGATTGGAATCCAGGACGATTTGACTCCAAAGCATGTATGCTTAACCATTTTGCTGTACTGCTACTTACATACCACAACACTCGGAGTGACCAATATTGCCATTTCATTTAATTAGCCTCCAAATCCTATCAAATCTATTCCCAAAACTTTTTTTTTTTTTTGAAACAGTCTCGTTCTGTCGCCCAAGCTGGAGTGCAGTGGCAAGATCTCGGCTCACTGCAACCTCCCCCTCCCGATTTCAAGCAATTCTGCTTCACTCTCCCGAGTAGCTGGGATTACAGGCGCCCACCTCCATGCCCGGCTAATTTTGTATTTTAGTACAAAAAGTCAATCCTCTTAACATGCAGACACATTTCGAAGGAGAACCAAATCCTTCCTCACTGAAGAGCAGCTACCGTGGAATGAAACTTTGGAGTTAGATTATTGTTGAATCCAACAAGCTACAGTGCCTGGGAGAAAAAGTACTTATAAAGTATTTGGTGAAGCTTACTGGTGATAAGGCATGTGCGTGTTCAGCGCAGTAATGTGGCACAGGGTTCACTAAACGGCATGTTTTAACCGAAGTTATTTCCTACTTAGAGGACCCAGAAACGTTTGCGGCCTGCGAGAATAGAATGCTAAAGAGCGAAAATCCGGACAACACTGGGCTCTGGGAAGAACGGTCCCCCTTTTAGAGATGAGAACAGGATAGAACACAAAGATGTGGTTTCTCCTAGATAACGCGGGTGAGGCCGAGCTCGGATTCTGCAGACTCCCAGGCCAGTCCTAACCAATTCATCTCCGAGTTTCACAGCCTCTTCCCCGGAGACTCCAGCCCCATCCCTGGCCTGCCCGATCCCGAAGCGCATTTGGGCCCTGGGCCTCTCTCAGTCTTGGCTCAAAGGGGTCTCAGCAACCGCCCCACTCGCCTTCATACTGTCCCACCACGCTCCACCCAGGGACTTCAGGGCCAGCTTAGAACTCTAGTGAGAGCTGAAAAGCATATTCCGATACCGAGAACCAGCATGTTCTATTTTTGTGAGTCAGGGTCTCTCGCTCTGTCGCCCAGGTTGGAGTGCAGTGGCGCAATCTTGGCTCGCTGAGCCTCGAACGATCCTCCCACCTCAGCCTCCAGAGTAGCTGGGACCACAGGCGCGCGCCACCACGCCCGGCTATTTTTTTT